GTCCCCGGCGGCGGCGCGGGCAGGAGCCCCGGGGCGCCGCCGCCGAGACCATGAGGAAATTTAACATCAGGAAGGTGCTGGACGGGCTGACCGCCGCGTCGTCGTCGTCCTCCTCCTCTGCCGCCGCCTCCGCGCAGCAGCAGGCGGCGGCCGGGGCCCGCGACAGCGACATCGCGGAGACGCTGCAGTCCGAGCACTTCCAGCTCTGCAAGGTGAAGGCGGCCGCGGCGCCGGGGTGCGGGGCGAGGCGGGTTTCTTTCATCGCGGACCGGGTTCCCCCGGAGCCGCTGGCTCCTGGGCCGAGCCGGACACTGCAGGCTGCTCCCCCCCGCGGGAAGGAGCGGCACCTGCGGGTAGCGCAGACCTCGCTGTGGCGTTTGGGCGCAGGCAGCTCCTGATGGACGGGCTGGGAGGCCCGGGAGCCTCCCGCTGCCTCTGAGAGCCTGGGCTGGAAAATGTGTTTCCCTTCCTCTGTCGAGAAGGCTGGCGCTGACTTGGCTGTAGCAGGCAGTGGTGATGCGCCAATCCGGTTGCGTGAGGGTGGCGATGGGGAGAAGTTCATCGTTAGCCTCTTCCCCGTGGGTAGTAGCATAATCATCGCCGTTGAGCTCAGCGCGCTGGAAAAAGGATGATGCAGCGAATTGATCTGCCGGCGGCACTGAATGGAGTAAAAACCGATTTGAATGTTAATACCCATTTTTATCTCCACGAAACACCCGTGGCCTAGCTCGCTATGGTTGGGTTTGTCATCAGCTCTGCATTTTCCCTCCGTTTAGGGCATCCTTACCACTTCGTAGGTTGTCGCTAAGGGACCTGGAGATGAAATACCAGTTTTCAGTCAAGTGGTCGTAATTACAGTTGCACTGTGAATACCTCACTGGGGGCAAAATATTAGAAGTTGTGGGGCATGTCATTAACTTCATCAAAGTAAATTGAGCCATCCACCTGAGTAGAAAATATATTTGTATTTCTGTGCTCTGAAAATACTGGATTAAAATGGCGTGTGTGTGGCGTGTGTGTTTGTGTAGCTGGAATTTCAGTGGGTGACTTACTGTAAACACACAAAAATTGGCATTGGCACAAACTCGGTTTTATGCCTATATAGCTGAAATCAAGGTTAGGCGAATGATACTAATACTTTTTCTTTTCTTTTCTTTTTTCTTTTTTTGTTTAAAAAGTGAGCCATGCAATATGTCACAGCACAGTGCATTCATTTGAATTACTTAACTACACTAGTTGGGCAGTAATTATTATTTGGGCAATTATCAGATTAAAATTGTGGCTAGTCAGAGTAGAAAGCTGTCCCAGTAGTATAAGATTAAACACTTTTTTTTCTTATTTATTTGTTGTTCGGGGGACTTTTAAAAGCTGTTCTGGGAGCGAAGCTGCGCTACGTTGTAGGGCCTGCTTAAAAGAAATGGGAATGGCTCTCTGAAGAACCATTTTAATAATTTGTAATTGTTTAAATTATGGTGCTGGCTTCATTGTCAAGCTTTGCAGGGAATATCTGATTTTAATTGTCAGAACCCCTGTAAACAGCCACAAACAAAGTGCCAAAGATTAGGGGAAAGGATAACATAAAACAGAGGAAGGGGAGTTGGTAGTAGTTTTGTTGAAAGAATCAAATCTTTAAAGTTTCAACAAGCATCCTTCCATGCCCAAAGATGGAGAAAATTTCTGGTGCAGAAATTAATTAAGAGACTTCAGTCTAAAGTGTCGCTAGATTAGTTTGCGATTCCTGACTGAACTGCAGCTAAAACTGAACCTGTCCTCCTAATACTGTTTTGGTTGTATTTATTTTTGGTCTGCTGCTTGACCGACCATTACTGCGCTGCTCTGACTTGTTAGACTGTACGCCATGGTTTTCCCTATCAGCCTTCAGCTTTGGCATTTGATCCTGTTCAGAAGATACTGGCCGTCGGGACTCAGACTGGAGCATTAAGGCTGTATCCTTTAATTTTGTTATAAAAGGAAATTGGTGTACTTGCACATCAGAGGCATGTTTTGGTGCTGTTTCTGCTTTCCTTGAACAGCTATGACTATGCACTCTGGAAACAAGGTATGCCTTTTTAAGGGAGGGGAGAGTAGAAACCTTGATAGTAGCTTGGGTGGCATTTCTTTTGGCATCTAACTGAACTTGTGTCAGCGCTCTGATGTAGCTGTCCAATTCCCTTTATTTCAAGTCACTATATGCTTTCTGCGAAGTCTTGCTGTTGTGCTGGCCATTTAAAATAATAAAACACAAATTTGAGTAAAGACTAGTGCTAGGCTATATAGTAGAGGCGGGCAGTTATTTTGGGTAGAGGGCCGCTTACTGAGTTTTGGCAAGCCATTGAGAGCCACATGACAGGTAGCCAGGGGCAGATAAATATACATTTTCTAAATTTTTTAGGGACCCTGTGGACCAGATAGAATGGCCTGGCGGGCCGCATCTGACCTGCGGGCCACATTTTGCCTACTCCTGCTATATAGGATTGTTGATGTCTTTTGGAGTTGGCCGTTTTTCAAAGGGAAATTATACATGCTGGCTCCATGTTTTCTCTCTTTCTGTTAGACCTGTTTTTTAATGCCACTTTATTTCTCATTATTTTAGGGTCACCAAAAGATTCTAAGACACTTCAGGATTTGTTTCTCCCTAAATTGTACAATTTGTTCAGGGTGGGATAGCAAATTTCACAGAAACATAGGGTTGGAAGGGACCTCCAGGGACCTCAAACCCTGTTTTGTGGTTTGAGACAACAATAAACTTGTTCTTCTTGCTCGTTAAACAGAATGCACACTTAAACCCATTTAAAATTATATAAAAAGTAGTTTAAATATCATTCCAAAAACGGATTGGCATTGTTTGGACTTCACTAATGGGGTTCTTGGTCAATTGAATTTGCCATTATCATGAAATGTTTTAAAGCTTTGACATTTTAAAAGCTTTAAACCATCTTTCTAGAAAAATAAAGTTAATTCCTTAAAGCCTGCAGGTAAATTTAATCTTTCTCCTTTTACTTTGATACTCCTTGGCGCTATATTCAGGGAAGTACTTTTTTTGGTGACGTATCAGATTTAGACCAATTTAAGAAGAACTCCCCCGCCCCTGCTTTTACTGCTTTTGGTTACAAAAATGAAATGCTCTACTGTAATGATACTGTCTTTCAAATGAATTACAGTACTTAAATGGATTTTCAGTCTCAAAATTGTTTAAAAATGATTTAACTAACTTATTTGTATGTAAAACTTAAAACTCACAAGATAGATTCAGAGGAAAGGCTATAAACTGAGGTAATGGGTATATGCATAGTTCACATTTTAATTATAGTTCATATTAAGGTATGAGCATTTTTATAGAAAATACAGAAATAATTATAGTATAATATTGCTGTTTACTAAACTAGGATGTTACACTGAGATCTCATTTACTTATCTGTTGAAGATACCCCTCACATACTGGTTACTATTTATTTGTCACAAATTGACATTTTATGATATCCATTGAAAGTAGCATTTTCAGTCTTACAATAAAAGTAGCTTCCAGTAAAGCTAGTTAAAGGTTGATAGTTATTAATTTCCTACTATTGGTATAATCACGTGCCTTATGAGGCTGCTGTGCCTTTTGAACAGATAAGAGTAAATGATGTATCATTGTAAAGGATAAACAAGTTTAGTTTGGGTGGGGGGAAAACAAGGAAAGAATGACTTTAAAATATAAGATGATATTTGTTTTCCTGAGTTTGTGGCATGCCACTTCTCCTGTAGCTTCCCCAAAGAGCAAATGTGGTAAGATATTTGTTAGTTTCTGAATCTTGTGAGAAAGGAATGAAATGGACAAAAATGGTCAGTTTAATTCTGCTGGTACTGCTAAACAAAAATATGCCTTACAGCAATGGAATGAGGCATAAGGTGCAAACACTAGTGTGTAAGGGAACATATTGGAAACCAGGTGTGTTAAACCTTCGTTCCCCTTCTGTACGCTCTCTCAGCGTGTAGATATAGGGATTCTAAAGACAAGAACAGAATGGAGACAATAACCTTCTTTTCCCACCCTCTTGGTCAGTAGGCAAGAAGTCTCTCCATCCCCATGGTCCAGGATATAATTGGTAAGGATAAGCATGACTTTTAAGGCCTTGACTTCCTATATAGGGTTTTGCTGTTACTCATTTTAGTACTTATAAGTCTGACATTGTAATGACAAGTGTAACAGATGCTAAAGAAGTCAAATCAATGTAATACAGGTTGACACCTATTTCAGCAACACTTGTAAGAGCGACAGCCCCTTACTGGCAGCAGCATTACCTGGGCACCCTGTCTGACTAACAGTTAGGAAGACGCTCTTTGTAATGGGCAACAGCTACGTAACAACAATATAACACCAGCAAGCTGACATGTTAATGATGGATGTGTTGTATAGGGTATGATGACTGAGATCTGGTTTGCTTCACGTTCTTCTATGAACTTGGGTATTAAAACAAATGATATAACTTTTTTTTTGTTACGAGGGACCCTCTCCTTTGCTTCTGTTTAAAACGTTTATCTGAAGAAGTTGTAAATGCTGTAAGTTTAGAAGTTAGTGTTAACTATCTTGGCTAAATGAAGGAAGCCAAAACTGCTTCATAAGTTATGGAAAAAGTAGAAAATATTCTTAAAAGTTCTCATTCAATTTGGACACAACTAAACTGGCTAATTAAATCATTCAAAATAAGTCTGTCTATACTAAAATTGTGTTGAACTGCTTCAGGCATGATCCTAGATGATTTTAAGATCATGACTTGTTAGAAAGAGGCTTTGTTTAGGCAATGTGCCACCTGTTTTGCAGCTCTACCATGTTATTCTTGTCCACTGACACCATGTAGGCAACAATAAAAAGATGTATTGATGTGTGTTCTTTAAATCCTAGTATTTAACACATTGTCATTAAAAATTACAGCTTTTGTCTTAGTGAAAATGAGGTCTATGGGTATATGTGCCCTTTTTGCATTAATGCCAAACTCCAGGTGTTAAGCCCTTCCTCTCCTCTCCCCTTTTCTCCCTCTCCCTTTTTAAAGGTAGGTTTAGAAAAGCTCTAAATGATGCTCCACAATGGGTCTCAGACCCAATCATTATGTAGTTGTGAAAATTTGGAATATCCACAACATCTTAGTTCTGTTAGTAAATGTCCTAGAAAAAATTAGAATAGGTGCATCATGTCTGCTATACTTTTCTCATTAGCAGCTGTTTATTGCTGCTGCTGCTGCTACTACTACTACTACTACCTTTCATTTGTTCTTTAATAGATAACCCGGTAGCTTGGAGGTAAACCCCGACAAGACTTTCATATTCCATGCCTGCTTTGGTTATTGCTGTAGCAGTAGTTATTTTTGGGAGTTGTAGTTTGAGAAACAGAGCAGTTCATAAGGTAGTAGGAAGAGGTGTCAGAATTTGTTTGTATTTGAATTGGAGTTCCCAGAATAACAAGCTTGTATTACTGTATCTGGCCCCTCCATCATTGTGTTATAAATACAGGGTAGAATATGTAGCTTTTGGGGTATTATTAATATTTTCATAACTCGTTACCTAAATTTAGGTGGGAAACATTTCTAATATGGTAAAAACCAAATGTGTAGATTTTACAATCTGAGCACTGCAGCTTTTTGATAGTTCTACACTTAAATTCGAAAATCATCTTCTCATGGTTCTTTAGAAAGGGGGAACTCTGCTCCTTAGTATCCAGAGTTAATCAGACATAATAGCATCTCTCTAATTTTGTTCTTTAGCTATGCGCAAACACTTGATCACCTTGCTTTAGAGCAAAATTTCCCACGTTGTGGTCTGCAAAGCCATGATCATGTTGGCTCTTCGTTTCCTTTTCAGTTAAAATTTGATACAGGAGCTTGGATGAGAAATTTTTTTAATTGATACTCATAAAATTTGGGGAATACAGCTCTGAAACTTGGCAAATCTATGCGATTGTTTAGTCAGATGAATAGACAAGGTTTAGCTTGGTTTTTGTTGCCTTATCTGAGTCCTGAGTATGGGAAACTTTTTATGCATTCCCTGTCCTCCTAAACGTTATGAAATATCTAGTGATTTCTAGTATTGCATCAGGTTTGCAAACTGAACCACAGTTCTTTTGCCTCGTAACTGTCATTGGTTTCCTTCCCTTTCTTGGATGGAAGACCTACTAAAAGTATTTAAAAACTTGGCAACATTTTATTACTTTGCATACTGCCAGGAAATGATTGGAATATCCTTTCCCACTCTTCTTTTCTGAACTCTCTTTAAATTGAGCATATTGAAATTTAGCATATGTTTAAAGAGTTGAACAGTTTCAAAAAAGATAAAATTGATCTGCTAGGCTTTTTCATTACTTGTGTGCATTCAAGATGGGCCTTCCATTGGCTTCTAACACAGTGGTGGAATTGTTTAGGGCTCAGTTCATATATTAAAAATGAATAAGCCCACTGTTTCTCCTTTTACTACATGCTGAGAGATTAGTACAAGATATAGGACAAAAGATACGATCTTTGGAAACTTAATCTGACTCTTGCCGTAGGCAGGAAAAATTTAGTGGTTCGAGCAGGAAACGAGGACTGAGGAACACGGGTCTCCTTCCCAGCACTGCTGCTTATTTTGCCTTGGGTAGATTATTGCATTTTTCTGTGCTTCAGTTTGTCAGTGAAAAAACTGGACAATCCATGATAGTGTTAAATGCTTTTGAGGTATTGCATGATTGTAAATGGTTTCTGTAAGCCTTAAAGAATTCAGATGCATCTAGGATCTTAGTCTCTCTCACTCTAAAGATTACACCAGATCTTCAGACCTGAGGACTTATCAGCAGAATTACAACATTTGTGCCTTCCACCTAGACAATGTTGTCTAGCACTTAATAGGATTCTTGTTCTCAGGCATCATAGGTTATTTCATAAGTTATTGGAGACTTTCTTTTTCTTTTTCTTTTTTTTCTTTTACTTGCATACAA